GAGAGAGAGAGAGAGAGAGAGAGAGAGAGAGAGAGAGAGAGAGAGAGAGAGAGAGAGAGACTTCATCATTCAAAGATAGAGGAGAGAGAGGGAGATAGAAGGGTACAAGATCCAAAAAGAGAATGTTCGGCGTTGCCGCCGCACACTCACACCGGAGATAAAGATCCGCAACAACAAAGGCGCATTCGCCGTTAATTCCAACCATGGCCCCAGGCCAATCACTCACTCGACTTCAATCATCGATCCTCATACCCGCACCGACGATCCCGACCGTCGCGTGCTAACTCCCACCGCTGCGATCGTCACCCCGCCGACGTAAAGCTCGGCGCGGCCCCGATCCCACAGTCCGTCGTGGCGATCAAGCGCGCAACCGGCCAGCCTATCGTCAGCCCGAGAGGACTTTCCGACTCGCACCAAACACTCTGCCTAGCCACTGCTTCCCAGAAGTTGGCTTGAGAGTCGAGAACGTAAGAGAGATTTGCGGGCGCGCTTGCGGAATTTATAGCAGCGAGGAGGGAGCCAAGGGAGAGAGAATGCAGGGTGAAAGTCGAAGTGTAAGAGGAGAATCAGGAGGAGAAGACTTTGAGAGGAGCGCTTCGCGGAAGCCATGTTGATGCTTCGAAACTCAAGATCAACCAATCAGACTCGTCGCGCGATAGGCAGATCCTACCGTACCCCGCGTCTGATTGGTGGGCGAGAGTAATCGAAGGATCGATCGGACTTCACGAGCTTTGCTCGAAGAGAAGAAAAGGCGCGAGAAGTAGCGCAGGACGGGTCCAAGATTCAGATGATCAAGAAAGGGGAAATGGGCGCGCAAAGAACTGAGCGGGGGAGAGAAAGGGAGGGAGAAAAGCAGTTACGAGGAGAGAGGAGGAGGAGGGGGAAGGAAAAAGGAGCGCGGAAGAGAGCGATGCGGGGGACAGAGAGGAGAAAGCTTTTGCATGTGTGGCGCCGTCAACAAAAGACAGAAGAAAAAGGCACCGAAACAGTTACAGCTCGCCTACATCCTAAACTAATTCAAAATTGAAATCACCATATCCGCGCGCGAAAGAGCAACGCGGGAAAAAGAAAGTCCTACGCCTATTCGTATCCTTGCAAAATTCCGAGAGTTTTCGTTAACGCGACCAAGAACGTTCACACACAAAAAAGGACACATCGAAGTTCCGCTTATCCCCGAATACCCAACTGTCGGGCCCAATTCCCTGTGCGTTCGCTAAGGCGCGTGTAAATTCCTATGCATTTCCCGACGTGCAAAAAGAAAAGAAATCAGAACCGACGAATCACAAAAGCTCCCGGAAGATGGGGGCTTGAAAACGCGGCACCCGAAATCAAGAAAATGAAACGGGTTTTTTTATGGGGTTGATATGATACAAAAAGGAGGGGTACGAAAGATGGCACGGGTTCGGGAAGTAGTTCGTCACATATGTGACGCGCAGGGGGTTCAAAAATTATGCGATCTCCTGATTGCATGTTATGGCCGAGAAGGAGAGAGGGAGAGAGAGAACAGAGTGATGCATGAGGAACCAAGCGTATCAACAAACGATCCAGCCAGAGTCCATGTTGACGCCATCTTCAATTGCAATCTTCTCATGGTTCTGATGGTTTGTGCTGCTGGAATCATTGATGGTCGTTCTGGTGGCGCCATCATCGTCCGCCGGTTCTCTGTGTGCTCCGCACCCCAGTTATCGCTGCCCGTCGAATCAGAGCGTAGGTTGACGTCATCGTCGATAGCGCGATCTTCGCGAAGCTCACTGATTCGTGTCGTTTTCCCCTGCTGATTAGATGGAGAGAGAGAGAGGGGGGGGGGGGAATAGTCACGTGATCGGGAGCTACCGCCTAATTGGAATGGGCCAGTAGAGGCGGTACATTGAGGGGATCCCACGGGGACGATGGGGCGGAAGTGGGGGAAGGTAGCGATTCATCCCTTCTACCGTCACCGGAAGCTCCTCATATCGGATGATCCGGTGAAAGCGAGGAAAGTGATTGTCGCTGTGAGGGAGGGAAGCGAGGTAGTCACGATAAAAGGAGGAGAGGGTGCGGAGGAGCGCCGCTCGAAAGAGTTCATAGTGGGGACAGGCGGGGATTGTCCCCGTAGCTACGCAGTAGACTTCTACCACGTTGCATTGCTCCCATGCAGCGCTGAACAACAGGATATGCCAGCAGAAGGTGGGGGCAGCGGGCTGAAGG